TGTTTAGAGCTGTAGTGTAGATTGTTGTGTGTGATCAATTTGTAAGTTTCAAGTTAGAGTGTCATGCTGTCTAACAACTGCGGCCCTGCATGCGCGAGGCCGTGGGTTCAATCCTCAGCACCACATAAAAATAAATAACTAAAGTAAAGGTATTGTGTCCAACTACTTCTAAAAACAATGTTAAGAAAATAATAAATAAATACAATACCTTGATGTTCTTTTCATGTATACCTCTGGTAGCCTGAGACATACCTGAATGATAATTTAGCACTGTAAATTTTATTGTAATTTCATGAACTATAGGAATATTTCATGTAAATAAAGACATTATTTTCCCCATATCCCTCTTCCCCAGTGTCTAGTTTCTGTCTGCTTCTCCTCATTGAGACCTCAGCTCATAACCAAGCCTGGTGGGTGCTAGGGTCACCTCCCATAAGCATGATGCCCCTCACTTGCAGAGACTCTGAGTTTGATTGCTGAAGGTAACATTTCTGACTATAACAACTGAACAAAGTTAAGTAAATTAGATTTAGGTATTCACAGTTGAATATATTTTGAAAGACCATAGGAACTAAGCAATGACGTGTCATATGTTGTTATCTTTCTCAGTTGATGGTATTTGATCATGAACATCACTAAGAATGTCAGCATCTCTCCATCAGACAGCAGCTGGCCATTCCAGCTGTATTTTCACACTTACACTGAAACCTAGCTCTAGTGAGGCAGAGGACAGCACCCTGACACAGGGGTGCCAGGTGCCATGATGGGTCCCAGGCTGTGCACACCCAGCTGTCCATCACCTGTCCCTTCTGGGTGTGGGGAGCCCCCTGATGCTCTGCCCCAGTCACTGTTAAGCACAGCCTGGCTGTGGGCCACAGGTGCCCTGTGAGCTGCAGAGCCCCAGGACAAGGCCCTCTCTGCACATGGCCCTCACCACCCACCCTCACCCCCGCCCTCCCTGCACCTTCCCATCTCCAGGGGCCACTGTCCTTTCTCTTTCCAGGACCTGATGCAGTAGCTTCCCCACTTGAGTGATGGTGTGGTGATGGTCTCCCTCTGCCTGACCCATTTCAGCTAGGTCCATGTGCTCCAGGGCCATGCCCAGGGCCAGCAGGAACATGATGTCATTCTTTTTTGCTAAATTACATTCTTCCCCTCTCTGCACAGTCACAGTCCCTATTTTTGAAATATCCACTAAGGGACACCAGGTGATGATGAAAACTGCTTTGACACTCATGGGACTGGAGTTAAGGACAGGCCTCTTGGGACCTATATCTCAAGTATTGGGCACATTGGGCAGTAGTCCTGTCCCCAAGCCTCAGGCTTTCCCTCCCCATGTCTCTGCTGGCCTCAGGCCATGCTGCACAGGGTGGGTTCTCCTGCCTGCTGCCCTACAAGCTGGCCTTGTTCCTGGTGGACCAACAGTGCTGGCGTCTTAGAAGGACTTACTCTCAGGTTCCACTAGCCATTGCCTAGGGGGCCTCTGTGTAGGGGACACACCTCGGACAAAGCTCTTCCTGAGCCCCAGGGCTACCCAGGGCATCCTCTGCAATCCAGGTGGAGGAAGACCTACCTCCACACTCGGGCACCCTGTGTGCCTGCAGAGTTACCCCATGGGTGCTGCCAGTTTAGCTGTTGGGTGTCTCTTCCAGCTCCTGGATCAGAGCTGGCACAGACTAACTCTTCACCCAGTCCCAGGGCTGTGTCCACCTCTTTAGATGCTCACTATGACCACCTCAGGCCCCAGCACCAGTGTGGCTGAGTCCAGTCTGTGCTGCTCTGAGCAGCTCCTGAGGCTGAGGGTTCACAAGGAGAGAGCTGTGCTGCAGCAGGTTCTGGAGACCAGGGTGCAAACACCCAGGTGCTGCTCCTGACCAGGGCCCTGCGGCTGCAGCACCACATGGCAGGAGGCAGGAGGCAAAGAGTGAGATGGGGCTGGGCTCCTGAGTGTTGCTGGGGTCCCACTGGGGCTCAGGGTGCCAGGAAGTCTCTACCAGCCCTGGGGGAACCCAAGTGACCAGGACCAGGGTGTCAGCTGTCCTCTCCATTCTCTCCACCCTCATGGACATGCTGAGGGTGACAGTGCAGCTGCCTTGATGGCAGGTGGCTGTGCTCCTTGAAAGACACCAAGGCAGTTCTTCCAGAGAGAGACCCTGCTTCCCCCAAGCCTACAGTGCCTAGGAAGAGAAATGGAGAATGAGGCCACAGAAGACAGACAGATAGATAGAAGGATAGAGAACTGTTAATAGATCTTATATAGATAGGTGGTGGATGATAGATAAATACACAGATAGAAGCTGAGAGTAAATGAGGCTCAATTAAAACTGTGCCTTGACACAGCACCAAGTCCATGGAGATGTTGACTAGAACTCATTCCAGGCCCCTAAAAAAAGGGGCTCTCCTCATATGTGGCCCCCTACAGAGTCAGCTCCTGATACCTAAAAGTGAGGACAGAGTCTGGGTTTCTCCCTGCCCACACTTGTGCCCTGTGCCCACCACAGATGGCAGCAGCATGTGCACCTGAGGGCTCTGTGCCAACTGGATGCTCCTGAGCTGAAGGAGGCCCTCACAGGGAGGCACAGCCTTCCCCCTGCAGGGAGCCTCTGAGGCCCTCATCTGGATGCCTCCTGGAGAGCAGGTCGCAGCAGAGGGGAGAAAACACACAGCACATTTCCAATGCAGGACGGTTCTGAGGACCACACCAGTGTGTGCACCTGGGAGCTGGAGGAGGGTCAGGGCAGCAGTCATGTCCATGGTGAGAGCAGAAGACCAGGTAACCAGTAACTCTCACCACATATGAGCTGTTGGACAGAGTGAACCAGCCCTCATGCTTTTATGTATGATTTTACATCTGGACCAGGGAGTTAGCGCTGAGATCTCCATCATGAGTTTTCACATGAAAAGAATAAATAATGGACAATAGGTGAAAATGGATATGATCACAAAGTTAATTGTACTTGCCTGAATGTTCCTCTGTCGCCCATGCTGCCCATGACACTCCCATCTACTCTCAGAGCTGCTCTACTTGGGCCTCCACCCAGGGCTGCTATATAGCAGGAGGACATGCAAATAGGGCCTCCCTCTGCTCATGAAAACCAGCCCACCTGACCCTGCAGCTCTGCACAGGAGCCCAGCCCTGGACTCCCAGCTCAGCCCCCTCAGTGATCAGGACTGAACACAGCTGCTCACCATGGAGAGTGTGCTCAGCTGGGTTTTCCTGGTGGCTGTTTTCAAAGGTAATGAATGGAGAATCAGAGATCCTGAGTGTGTGAGTGGACAGGAGTGAGAGGAAGAGTGGACGAGTGACAGTGTCCTGACCAGGCTGCCTCTGTGTTTGCAGGTGTCCAGTGTGAGGTGCAGCTGGTGGAGTCTGGGGGAGGCCTGGTGCAGCCTGGGGGTTCCCTGCGACTCTCCTGTGCAGTCTCTGGATTCACCTTCAGTAGCTACTACATGACCTGGGTCCGCCAGGCTCCAGGGAAGGGGCTGGAGTGGATCTCATCCATTAGTACAGGTGGCAGTAGTACTTATTATGCTGATTCTGTGAGGGGCCGATTCACCATCTCCAGGGACAACTCCAAGAACATGCTGTACCTGCAAATGAGCAGTCTGAGAACTGAGGACACAGCCACCTATTAATGTGCCAGAGACACAGTGAGGGGACCTCAGTGTGAGTCCAGACACAAACCTCCTGCAGGGCGCCCAGGGCCAGCAGGGGGCAGTCAGCACACAGGAGCTCAGGTCACCCAGGAGCAGGTGCAGAGGGAGGAGGGAGCAGCTCAGCTCAGGCCCTGAGGTCCCTGCCCTCCCAGCACCTCCTGACTCCACCCTGCCTGCAGATTCTCGAGGTCCCTCCTCTGCCAGACCCTCTGTGAGGTGATTCTTCTCTAGGTCTTGCTTGTCTGGAATTCTCTCAGCACAGACCAGGCAATTTTGCAGATGGAGGTTACTTTTCAGTGACATTTCCTGAACAGCGTCTTTTAAGTGAAGTTTATTGATTTTTCTTTTCAGCACCGGGGATTGAATCCAAGGAAGCTCAACCCTTGAGCTCCATTCCTGGCTTATTTGTGTCTTATTTTGTTCTCCCTAAGATGCTCAGGCTGACCTTGAAGTTATGATTCTCCTGCCTCAGCCCTCAGTGTCCCTGGGGCTACAGGTGAGCTCCCCACACCTGCTGAACTTTACACACTCCTAATGCCATGTCTTAGTCCCTTCCTGTTCAGATGGATCCTCTGTCCCCTTCCTATGACTCCTTCCCATTCCCACTTCACCTACTGTTCTTCCTTTGATGGATCAGGACACAGTGGACACCTTATTGGAACCCACTTAGTGCCAGAACTTTCTACCCCTGGGGACTATTGGCAATGTCTAGAGGGAGTTTTTTTCACATGTTAAGGATGAATTGTCCTGGCTATTTGTATCAGATAATTTCTTTCTGTGGTGAGACCACAGAAAGGAATTATCTGATACAAATATCCATGGACTGAGCTAAAAATGTTGACGGAAAACCTTAAAACTTATTAAAATGAATAAAAATGTACATATTCAGAGTGAACCTTGGTGTGTGGGAGCTGTATGTCCCTCATGATGAGCCTCTATGACACCCAAAACTCACACCCAGGGCTCCAAAGTGTGGACACTCCACTCATCATGAAGGTGTGCATGCCCTGTGGACAGGGTTGACTTGAACAAGGTCTTGGAGAGACAGGGTCTCCATTTGCAAAAGACCCAGGAGAGAGGGTGGTCAGCTGTTCATGGAGGTGTTTCTTCTCTAGGTCTGACTGTGGGTCAGCTCTGCCCCTGGCCTAAGGACTCTCAAGAAACACTGTGCCCACGTCCACTCTGACCCCATCTCACTGTGAGCTGACCCTGAGCCTGAGAAGCCCCAGGACACCTGGCTGCTGGGGAGAGGCAGCGTGGAGCCTGCCTGGGTTTCCAGCCACTGTGGCTGCATTGCAGGGTCATAGACAGGGTCACCTGGGCTCTGTCCCTGCTCACATCAGTGCCCACCCTGTCCTGAGGGTCTGCTCCAGTCTGGGTGAGGAGGAGCAGTGGCAATATTTCTATCCCAGACTGTCCTAAATTAGTCTTTGTTCACTCCACAGAATTAATCATTTATATATTTTCAAAATATGTGTTTAGAGCTATAATATTGATTTTGCATAATAAATTTGTAAGTTGCCAAGTTGGAGTGTTATGTTTTATAACAACTTGTGCCACTTATATTTCTGTCAATGATACTTCCAATTTTCTCTATATTTTAATATTTTATTTTGGATATAATTGTGCAAAATTTGTGGTTCATTTTGATGAATTTATAGATAAATAAGCAAAATTTTATAGCAGAGTACTTGCTTCCTGTCCCTATTTCCTACCTGAAATTTTCCTGCCTGTTATCATCTCTGCAATTTACTCTCTATTTTTCTTTATATTAAGTACAAATACAATGATGTTTCTTTGTCGTATACCTATGGTGGCCTGAGACATACCTAAGTAATAGTTTACATTGTACAATTTCTTGTAATTTAGTGAACAAAAGGAATATTTCATCTAAATAAAGACATAATTCTCCCAATATCTATCTTCTGCCATGCTATATTTTCTGTCTGCTTTGTCTCATTGAAACCTCAGGACTTTCTCTGGGGGCTTCTCTCAGCTCATGCCTGAGCCTGGTGGATGCAGGGATTATCTCCTCTAAACACTGTGCCCCTGACTTGTAGAGACTCTGTGTTTGATTGCTTAATCTCACATTTCTGACTATAACAATTGTACTCAGGTAAGTAAATGCGATTTAGGTATTGACAGTTGTATATATTTTTAAAAACCTGATTAGAAATTAATATATTGTATTTTGTTTTCTTTTATGTATGATGGTGTTTCATTTTTAATATGATTAAAAATGTCAGCATCTCTTTTCATCAGACACTCAGCTGTTGATTCCAGCTGTATTTTCACACTTACACTGAAACCTAGCTCTAGTGAGGCAGAGGACAGCACCCTGACACAGGGGTGCCAGGTACCGTGATGGATCTCAGGCTGTGCACACCCAGCTGTCCATCACCTGTCCCTCCTGGGTGTGGGGAGCCCACCAGCTGCTCTGCCCCAGTCACTGTGAAGCACAGCCTGGCTGTGGGCCACAGGTGCCCTGTGAGCTGCAGAGCCCCAGGATAAAGGGTGGGGAAAACAGCTACTGGGAGACCAGTGTCTGATGTTGGGGTCCCTGATGACTTCATGGCTGTGGCATACTTGGTGACTGGGAAAGTTTCTGCGCAAAGGCATAGAATGCCCGGTTGCTGTGGAAATGTCCTCCATGATAGAGTCTTAGCAGCCCTGACCTCTTTCTCAGCACAGCAGCTCCTGGGAATAAAGGAACTTCCTTGCTAAATAACCACAGTGTTTCACCAGTTCTGTAGGCATAACATCCTACACCTCACCTCTGGTTCTTTGTCCACCATCACAACCTGTAAGCCCTTTTGCAAACCTACTGATTACATTGTAGATAATAATAGAATTCACCATTTCTGTATATCCTGACCAAACTATTAACATCTTAATAGCAACAATTTGAGGTGGAATACAACTTAAGGTTGTATACTGTTCCTAATGGGATCTGTTATCATTGTCCTTCCCCTTAAACAAGAAATATTGGAACCCTGAAGGGGCACTATAAGCCTGTAGGGTAAAAATGGTAATGCCAAAGATCCACAGTGTTAGAAGGGAAGACACACAATCAACATAAAAAGACCAGGGAAGAAAGTGCCCCAAAGAAATCAAGATATGGCATTGTTAGAATCCATGGCCAGCACCACAGACGAATCACAGTGAGGGAGTTCAGGATGCACATAATTAAAATGCTCTGTGGATGAATGGATGATATGAGAGAGCAACTACAGGAGCATAAGATCATTTTGATAGAGAGTTACATAAGCAAATACAGGAAGAAAATATTACTTCAATGGGGAGATAGAGGTTCTAAGAAATTACCAAACAAAAATACTTGAAATGAAAGAAACAATAAACCAAATTAAACCTCCAATTGAAAGCATCACCAACAGGTTAGACCACGTGGAAGACAGAATGTCAGACAATGAAGACAAATATATAATCTTGTAAAGAATGTAGAACACACAGTGAAAATGGTAAGAAACCATGAGCAGGACATTCAAGAAATACGGATAGCATAAAAAGTCTGAATTTACAAGTTATTGGGATAGATTAAGGCATAGAGTTCCAAAACAAAGAAATGGACAATCTATTCAATAAGATAATAAGAGAAAATTTTCCAAACATGAAGAATAAATTGGAAAACCAAATCAAGAGACTTACAGATTGATAAATCTACAAAACCACAACAGATCCATGCAAGACACATTATAATAAAAATGCCTCATGTAAAGAATAAGAAGAGAATTTTAAAAGCTACAATAGAAAGGAATCAGAATATGTACAGAGAAAAATCAATTAGGTTACGTACAGATTTTTCAACCCTGACTCTGAAAGCTAGAAGATCCTGAAAAAAAATACGTCAAGCTCTGAAAGAAAATGGATGTCAACCAAAAATCTTGTACCCAGCAAAATTAATCTTTAGAACTGATGATGAAATAAAAACCTTTCATAAAAACAAAAGTTAAAAGAACTTTCAGCTAGAAAACCTGCATTATAAAACATACTCGGCAAAATATTCCATGCAGAGAAAATGAAAACAACCAAGGAAAATCAACAGAGGGTGTATTACACCAAAGGAAAACCCAATCAAAGGAAAAATCAAGTCAAGTTAAATACCAAAAATAAACAAAATGCCTAGGAATATAAATCATATCTCAATAATAACCATGAATATTAAAGGTTTAACTCACCAATCAAAAGACATAGGCTAGCAGATTGGATTTAAAAAAAGACCTGTGGTGAGCCGTTTCAGCGGACC